GTTTATTGAAAACTACATTTTCCTCCGCCTCTTACTTAGCATAATTGTGTTGATTTGTACCTCGCTTTTAACCCACTTGGGGACGCAAGTGTGCAGCAAAAGGGCAGTAATCTTTGATTTTTCAGCATTTTCGTATAGGTTACAAATTATAGTTCACTGTTTTTGGGACAAGTATTATCATGTTTTATTTACATACATTCGCTTACTATTGTATTTAATTAGTTACATACATTCTACATTATTTTATTTATTTATTTATTTACATACATACTAGTTCGAATTCGATGAACACTAAGATTATTGGCCACTTGATAAAAAACAGATACGCAAAAAAAGTAACGGAAGAGTGCAATCTATAAGTACGATTACCAATGGGTTAATAAACTTCAACACCATTTGTTCCCTCCATTAGAACCTCTAAAAACTTCAAACTAAAAAAAACTTTGGGCGAATATTTCCCAGGCACATTTGGGATCTTGTTTACGCTTGCATTTGTTTACGATTGAGATTTTACTCCACGAATTTGATGCCTTCTTTGCAATGGCACACAAAAGTGCAGTATGTATGGGAAAGAAGTAGTATCTTTTCTCGTCAACAATAATTGCATTTGCCGCCTTCGAAGGAAATCTGCAAAGAATGATGTCATTTATTTCTTCTTTGGGAGGCTATTTCCAGTGCAATACCTAGTTACTCCCCCTATTATGCAAAGAAACCTCGATGGACTTGAGGTCACTAAAAGGGCTCTGTCGGTGACGAAGATGAGGCAATAATAAGTGGCGCTGCCTCCATAGATATGAGTTGTGCTCGGATCTCTTAGGCCGCGTTCATACTTCATCACTTGGGAGCTTATGTATGGCAGTGGGAGAAGAAATGAGAATGAAGAAGATGTATATCGATTGGGAGATGGGGAGAGATCATAGAAGATCTCAGAGACTGCAAAAGATTACATAGCTGTCAAAACAAATCGTTGAGACAGTATTAGGAGATTAGGATAGTAAGAGATTAGGAGACAGCGCTGAAATGATGAGATACGTAGTGGTCGATTTGACTGAAGTCGCCTGGTCCGCTAATTTCGTACTAATCAAGATGAATTTGATTTTTTGCTGGATATATTATTATCCCAATATCCTGCTATCCTATCGCCTAGTCTCTTGAGTATCTCAGTCGTGGAGTATGAACGCGACCTTATTGGTACCCCTCTGCTCATCAATGTCTCATCGATCTCCAATCGTCAGTTGGTGCCGGCCTCATCTGGGAACATCAGCTTGTCCCTTTGTCCCTAAAAGTCACTGTATGGAGGGAATAATCTCCAAACGCTCCTACGATTATTTACTTATTTATTATTTATTTCTTGGATGCACGCGTAGGTGCGCTACTCCGGATACAGCAGAGTACAGCTTCTACAAAAAAGCAAAAGATTATGAGAAGAAGTCGGGGCCATGGCTTATACCTACATAGGGCCAATGCCAAATGCTTTACCCCTTATCCTTCCATCGCTTCACATTTTTGGGAGTTGGCATTGCTTTTCTTGAACACAGGCTCGAAAACAATAAAATTGCTGCAATTGCTGTCGCTCTTAAGTGCCCTCATTACTCAACGGATTCTACGATTCTTTTTCACAACATCAACTTCAGGTTAGAGTCAGCTTCAATAGCTATATTCATAATGAGGCTTACAACCTTTCGATCACATAAATTTTGTCCTGCCCTGATGGAAAATGACCAACGTCCAATTCACTGTCAGTTCAGATTTGTAGAGGAATTTTGAAGGCGTAGTTGGTCCATTTAACCCGTCACATGGGCCAGCTATGATCGCATAGGTGCTTTTGTCATGCTCATGATGGTCTGACTGAAAGGTTCCAGTTAACTGCCTTCAGGAAGGTAAGGATTTAACAATAAGTTCCTCTTCCTCGTATCCTCCTCCACCTTCTTTTTCACATCTCCTCCCAGAATTATTTGAATGGAGGTTCAATGCTTGTCCGACTCCTTCAGATGCCCCACAATCCGATTTCCTCATAGGTTATGGAGGAATCCTCTGAATGCGAAGCCCATTCCATGACTGTAAAAACTTCGCATTATGTTCCTAGCAGGGTCAACCGTTACGTTGGACCGATATTGGAGCGACGTTGGACCGATGTTCACCGCTCTCCGCGCCGGCATTCACTCTCGCCACCCGCGAGCCGTCTGTGTCTCCGTGCGTACGTTCACTCTCGGCATTACTCTCGTCGTCGCGTTGGACTTTGTCCAACGGACGGTTGACCCTGTCCTTAGCCCCTGCAGAATCGCAATTTAAGGACAAGGAGTTCGGGTTAAGACGCAGCCCAATCGATAATTCTGTCTGGGATGCGCCATGAATTCGATTTTTGTTGGAAATCATACATATGTTGGCTTGAAACGATCGGCTGGTACAAAGCATTCAAAGGCTTAATAATAGCTATAGGCAATATTTCATCTAGGACTCGATCACTTAATCAGTTCCACGGTGTAGGCGTCGCTTGCCAATACCCTTTTCCAATTATTTTGTCGCATATTTCCTCAAATTTTGCTGTTATTATATTTGTTCAATATTTTTACTACTTGCGAAGTTTGAAAGAAATTCAAGTCAACATCTGTTAGTACTTTTCCTGAAAACAATTTCATACGTCAATCATTGTTATAGCGCCGAATTTTCAAGTGCAAATTTAATTTTCCCGGTTGATTTCTTGAATGAAATCAAGGGAGCGCTGGTGCTGCAAATGCTCGTTTGTCGGTTTTTCTCACGAGGAGCAGATGCTGAATGATTTCCTCATGTTCAAACGGTAGTCCCTGAGGGGGAGAAAGCATGGCCTCATTATTACAGTGGTCGTTCATTGGGCTCCTCCTTGTTTAACATTCTCTTGAAGTCAACTCTGTCGTCTTCAAAGGCACAACTGTGGCAATCCCCTTTGCCAGTGTTTCTGTCACCCATGAAGAACTCGCTTGTTCCGCTTTTCTGAAGAACCTGTTCACTTCCTCATTGTCTTTTTGAAATAGTCCGTCCCTGGAGCTATCGCAATATACGGGGGCATTGTGGCTGCAATGGTCGCGTAAAACATTTCCTTTTTGTTAAATCGGGACTAAGCTTAGGTGGGAGATCAGAGACTCCAGGGTGCGTGAGCAATTTTCATTTTCCCAAAGTTTCTGCCCCTCCTAGGCTTAGTCCTAAAGGATGCCCCTGTATATTGCGATAGCGCCGTTCCTTTTTTTGTTATAATGGTTTTAATTGGCTGGTAAGAGCATAAATAGCACATCGCTTAATCAGTTCAGAGTTGGCGATCGTACATTCGATTAGGCGATCTCTCAAAAAGAAAGTGTACGTTTCGATTGGCGATAGGCGAGTAAGCGGTTGGGCGAGCAGGCGATTAGGCGATTAGGCGAGTAGGCGATAAGAGAAGGATACGTATTGATTTGTTGCTCCGCCCATTGAGCGATCGCCTAATCGCCTACTCGCCTACTCGCCTAATCGCCTAATCGATACGTATCTCTTATCATAGACTAGTCGCCTAATCGCCTAATCGCATATACGATCGCCAACTCTGAACGTTGACGTGGTGATACCGTTCCACCTTTTCAGATCTCGTGGCAATAAGAGCTCACAAAAGTAAATCATGGCTTCTGTGTTTTCCTTTACTTTTTCATTTTTTCTCCATGGTCGGTTGCCTAGCTAAACAAAATTTGGGCGCTATCGCAAGATACAGGAGCTCTTCCAGGATCAATCCCAGAGGGGGGTAGGAACATCGCGGGCAAAAAATGCTGATGCAATCAAATAGATTACCTCTTCCTCTACTCAACTTTGACCCCATTTGAAAAAAAAGGAAGAGTCTTACGCGGTTTTAAATGCCTTACCCATACAATGCCCCCATATCTTGCGATAGCGTCTGAAACCTTCTCTCATTCTTGCCTCATTTAAAATGCTGAGCCATAGTAGATCAAATATGCATTACAGCCTCTTCTGCAATTCCGAGTGTAAGTTGAACTTCAGTGATTATTCTAAACCCTCAATCCGTGACGGGTGTGACTGTAAGAATAACAAGGGTCAAAAGTTGATCGTCGAGCTAGGCAGGATTTGATCCTTCCTTGCCATGCGGATGAAAACTACTATGTCTAGACTCTACGCCCCTCCGGACTTTTAATCTAAGTCTAACAATCCAATACAGCGCCAGTACTCTTCGAATGCGTAGGAGTCAAGCCAGCAATAACAGTTGGCAGCTTTCTGCAGAGTCCAGCCTTGGACAAGGAGGTTAACCTCGTAAAGGGATAAGCAGACTCTAGTAAGGGACGGGCCCACAGCACAAGAATCCAATTAATGAAGCCACTCAAATGGGCGTCAACCCGGAAGTGAGGTTATAGTCTGCCCAAGGATCCTCTGCGTGGGAGATTACTGTAAAATACGCTCTCAGGACCTTCGTATCAGTCGCGGGCAATGACCGTTACCCGCGGTATCCCATCAAAGTTCAAATTTTTCGCTCGACGGCGCCCTCGAAAACCTCTTGACCATGTTATTCGCCGTTCTCCCACGTAGCGTTCCTTTTTCGTGTCATCTTTTTGCCTTTGCTTGCTCCGATATTGAAGGCAGTTTTTCTCAGGGCATTTTACGGCTCAGCGCCAGAGCGGCAGAGTAGCGCAATTAGAGAGTCATCGAAGGAGCCGGCGAACTCCTCCTCATGATGAGGTGGCGTCGACGCTCGGCTTCACACCCGAGCAGTTCTTCCGCTTCGCTTGAATAAATATACTACTCGATAGAAGTGCTTCCATCAACCACTCGGGAAGTCATTAATTCAGGATAGTCTGAGAGCTCTTTTAGGCGTCTCCTCCACCTTCTCCGGCGCTTTGTGGAATCGATTCTTTCTCGAAATTTTCCGGATGTTTCGCAATTTTCTATGCGCTCCTATTATTCTTTAATGAGGCATTTAAATTTTACTCCCCACTCTTCGTATACTTATTTTGAAGATCTATTGAAGAGGATTTTCAGAGTGTTGGACAATGTCGACCCGAGCAGCCCTGTGTGCAGCATCACTAGAAGAACATATGCAGAGACCTCACGCAATTCGAACCTTATCGGCTCAGATCACTCCCTCCACAGTCTCTCCGTCAGCGAGTCAAGACGAACCTAAAGGTGATTTCTTGGCTATCTTAACCCTTTTTAGCCGTTTCCTATCCCGTCAGCGCCCCTGAAAGTCCTTGACCGCCGCTGGTGGAAGCGCAGGACGAGCGCTCATCACGCATTCATTCATTTATGTTTATATGACGTTTCTATTTCAGAAGTGGTCGGTCCGAGGACAAGTGGCGGTCACGCTATCTCTTCTCCTGCCTCCACGGCACACGATCGGCCGTCTTCTGAAGCTCCTCCCGCCACGAAAACGGCGACGACAACGTCACCGCCGGCATCTCCACCCTCATCTACTCGTCGAACTAGCACTCATGTCGATGAGTCACAATCGCCTGCAACATCGACAATGGAGGAACCCAGACGAGAACATCCCAAATCTCTGCCGTTGGATCAAATCCCCACGGATTCCCGACGTTCAAGCTCAACCAAAGTGCGTAAACCTGTGCCTAACGGCAGCGCAATGCGTGCCACCTCCGCTCAGTCTCCAGAAACTCCGGTCACTTCAAAGATTTCACTTCGGACACTTCAGGAAATGGTCAGTTTGACCCTTCTTTATTCCAGTTCCGGCTTACTTTTGTATACGAGAAAGATGGAAAAATGAAGAAGCTTAAGCTTTTTTTCTGAACAAATCTTGAACAAAAAACCTGAGAACAAAAGGCTCGAAACATTTTTGATGTCGTACGACCCCAGAGCTCATTTAGGCGCTATCGCAATATACGGGGAATCCTCTAGCACCTAGCGTAGGAGGGGGCGGGAACTTTGGGGAAAATGAAGGTTACTTTGCACCCTGGATCCTCTCCTCCCGCGCCTATAGTGCAGTCCCGTTTTTGAGAAAAAACAAGGTCTTTCACGTGGTTCGAATGCATTGCTTACAATGCCCCCGTATTTTGCGTTAGCGCTCCTATTTTTTTATCCTTTTAAAGTGATCATTCTTAAATTAGAAAGAGGTGAAAAATTGAGAGCATAAAGTGAAAACTGCTTGTCATCAACCAGTCTTGATAGAAGGCGCCACGTATTCGCCATCAATACAGGATTATAGAGGTGTTTGATGCGATTTGTGTCCAGGGTCAACCGTGCAGTGGGCAGTTCTAAACGAGGGGGTCGTAGTTGGGTTTTGGAGGGAGGGGTCAATTTTATTTTAAGACTG